GCCAAAATTTTGGGGTGTGTGGGGGTAAAGCTGCATGTTTGGAGTAGCTGAGTGGGCTGTTTAATATTATTTTCAAGACGAAGAGGATGCCAGAGGAGTGGAGATGGAGTACGATGGTTCCGTTGTATAAGAACAAAGGTGATATCCAGAGTTGCAACATCTATATGGGTATCAAATTACTGAGTCATACCATGAAAGTTTGGGAGCGAGTGGAAGAAGTGAGGTTGAGGAGGACAGTGTCTATATCCGATAATTAGTTCAGGTTCATGCAGGGGCATTCTACTATGAAAGCTATCTACCTTGTTAGGAGGTTAATGGAATAATACATGGATAGGAAGATGGATCTAATATGGTGTTTATTGATCTGGAGAAAGCGTATGACTAGGTTCATAGAGAGGTTCTATGGAGATGCCTGGAGGAAAAATGTGTGTTGGTTACTTATATTAGGGTGATTAAGAAAATGTATGATGGAGCTAATTAGACTCGGGTTAGGACAGTGGGAGGCAACTTAGAGTATTTTTCGGTTGTTATGGATTGGACCAAGGATCTGTGCTCATCTCATTCTTATTTACCCTAGTGATGGATGCACTGACATACCATATTCAAGGGGAGGTGCCATAGATGACATAGTTCTGATTGATGAAACGTGAGGTGGCGTCAACGAGAGGCTGGAGTTTTGGAGACAAACTTTTGAGTCTAAGGGTTTCAAGTTGAGAAATACTAAAAAGGAATACCTGGAGTGTAAGTTCAGCACCGAGCTGACGAAAGCGGGATTTGACGTAAGGCTTGAATCACAGGTCATCCCTAAGAGGGGCAGTTTCAAGTACCTTGGGTCAGTTATCCAGGGGGATGGGGAGATCGACGAGGATGTCACACACCGGATAAGGGTTGGGGTGGATGAAGTGTAGGTTAGCATTTGGAGTCCTAGGTTACAAGAAAGTGCCACCGATACTCAAAGGTAAGTTTTACAGAATGGTGGTTAGACCGGTCATGTTGTATGGAGCTGAGTGTTGGCCAGTTAAGAACTCACATATCGAGAAGATGAAATTAGCAGAAATGAGGATGTTGAGGTGTATGTTCGGGCACACTAAGATGGATAAGATTAGGAATGAGGATATTTGGGAGAAGGTGAGCGTGGTGACAAGCTGCGGGAAGCGAGGCTCACATGGTTCAGGCATGTTCAGAGGAGAAGCCTAGATGCCTCGGTAAGGAGGTGTGAGCGACTGGCTTTGATGGGTACGAGGAGAGGTAACAGGTGGCCTAAGAAGTATTGGGGAGAGATGATCGGGCATGACATGGCGTGGTTTCAGATTACCGAGGACATGACCCTTGATAGGAAGTTGTGGAGGTCGAGCATCAAGGTTGTAGGTTAGGAGGTAGTTGTGCATATCTCTACGTCTGAGGCTAGTCTGATAGGATTTTGTCTTAAACTGCTAGTGGTTAATGTTGTGTTCACACTACTCTTTCGTTTCTCATAGTGCCGGGCCTATCTACTGGTTATTGTTTTGCTTTTCGTCTATTTTTTGGTTCTTGTGACGCTTTTATTTTTTCTATGGTTTCTGTTGGTGGTACGATATATTCATCTTTTTTTTATCTTCTTGAACCGAAGGTTTATCGGAAATAGTCTCTTTATCCCCTCGGGGTAGGGATAAGGTCTGCGTACACACTACCCTCCCTAGACCCTATTATTGAGATTTCACTGGGTCGTTATTATCGTTGTTGTTGCGGAGAGGGTTAGCTTCTTTTTCCTCAATCCAACTAAACTCTTCAAGTTTTATGGCAGACTTTATACACAGTGGTCTGCTTCCTTAGTCTATCTCTCGGGCATGTGCCAACAATTACCAAGTAGTACGTCTTTCTTTTTCTTTTGTGACTGTCGTTGTGCACAAAAAAGGGTAGAAATAAAAAGAGTTATATAATCAAAATTTATGTGAACTGAAGAATTAACAACTGGTACAGTTAGGTCATTCTTCCATTACAATTACCAATGGAGTATGATTTTTATAGACTATAGAGAACCTGTTTGAGAGTTAGAGCTTCTTTAGAATTATTACAAGATCATTGCGCAACAGAAAATAGTTCACGTTGTGATTTGTCCTTTAATTGACCCACATATTCACAATAAATACAAATTTAAAAGAACTAAATATCTGACAAGCAAGGAACTGTAGTATAAGATATTTTGCTAACTACACATTATTTGGACATATAATCATGATAAGTACCTCTATGATCGAGTGTTGTGATTGCGTAAAACCTGAGTGTACGTACGTAATTCATGGTCCTACGAGGAAAAACGTAAATAAATGTCCCCGAGAAATGCATGTCTGTCCTTTAGCAGTAAATTAGAGTTATTTGATTGCTAACAAAGTAATGGTGAATATATGATTAATTAATTTTTATGCCAGCTTCAATATGCAAAATCCTCTTCCCTTTCAACTAGTTTTGGTTGTCATTGTCATCCTTTTACGAAGAAAGAAAGTGAAGAATAAAAAGAAACGAACAAATCTGAATTAAAACAGACTAGACGAGTTGTATTTCTGAAGTTCACTTTAATCAATTTATTCATTACGTAAAGTTTTGCATTTTCTAATACTGAATCAATAAAATATCTGATTGGGAACCCGAAAGTCCTTTCTTTCCGTTTTCCTTCTACATATATAGAGTCGGATCTAGTAACTTGCAGTAAACCAATTAAGCACATGAAATGTTCACAAACTGTAATTTAATCATTTTTGTTCCTCTAACATAGATGAAATACATCGGCTTTATTTATGGTCATTAGCTAGAGTTACAGTAGCGAGTTCAATCGAACTCAATAACTTTAGTTCAAACTTTATATTTATCTTAGGAAATCCATTGAATAAACACAAATTCTTATTTTAAAACCCAATAACATAAAAAGGCTAGAATTCCGTACCCAGTAACTTCAACTCTCCACCTCCGCCTATATATATAGTATATGATAATCAATGTGTTTTGTGTGCACTAACATTAAAAGTTTTCAAGTCAAGTTAATTAACTAATAACATGTAACTTTTTGTAGCAGATATGATATTTCAAAAAAAGAATAATAACCTGATATATTCAATTAAACTATACTGATAGTTCAATAAAAATTTCACCGTCTAACATATATATAACAACGTGCTTAGCAATTTTACTATATTCAATGAATTATTCTCGACAATTGCTCGGAGCCGCCAAAGGTTTCTTTATCCGCCGCCCGTTCGCCACAAATTTAATCCCATTTTTTACTAACAAAAAGAAATAGTATCAAATACTATAAATGTTGGCCCACCCCATTCTTTATATTAAAGAGAAAAAAATATTGTGTAGCGCTGCAGGCAGTATTGTGATTAATTTGCTCACCTAATTGCACTTTAGTTGCATTATTATAGAGGAATTAAAATATCTGAATGGTGCTGTAGCATAAGATATTTTCGAGCTACAATTTGCTGATCACTACTGATTTCATTTTGATGTGGTAATCATAATTTTTCAAACACCTTTATGACTAAGTCTATGATTGTGTATAACCTAGTTTTTTTTTTGGCTAATTGTATAACCTAATGTGCGTGTACGTAATTAATTGTAAAAATAGGAAAGGAAAAACAAAAAGCAAGGTAACCAAGAAAACTAGACATGTCTTATATATCTTTCTAGAAATAGAATGAAGTAATAAATATATAATGCTCGCAACTCCAATTACGTACTTTTTCAATTTTTAGTTTTCACGATTAATAAATATTTAAGTAACTCTTTTTTTCATTCTAGAAGCTACAGTCTATCAGAATTGAAGGAAATCAAATTATATTTTAATGTTATTGAATTTTTTGATGAGTTACAAATCATTTTATATTAAAAACCCTGGAAAAAAAACTTAATCACCGTTTGCTTTTTTATTTCCAAAACAACTCCAATACAATACATCAAGTACTAAATTGATATGAAGAACATGAAAAGTTTTATTTTGTGTCTCATACAACTTACACTAGTTGTATGCGGCTCTTTTTTGTCTTACAAATTTGTGGACCCCAATCTTATACTTCTGGGTCCACAAAATTGTTTGACAAAAAAGTTGTCTTATACAACTAGTGTCAGTTGTATGAGACACAAAATAAAATTTTCGGAAGAACATAATCCTTTTTGCCATTGTGATCGGCTTCGGCTAATTAATAGATAAGGAAATTGACTTAATTTAATTTGTTCAAATAGATGTTAACGAAAACAACCTAAAATATCTGACTAGATATTTGTCTCTCCTATCCTACTCTAACATTCATCACTTTGTCTATAACAAAGAAATATGTAAAACAACCATATTGTATTGTTCGCAACTCCACAACTCGCTATCAATTGTTTTAATTATTCCCTAAAACTATTTTAATTTAATTCTAGTGGCCAATAATTTATATTAGAGATATCTATTATTTAATTTATAGCACAGCTATGTAGTGATGCTGATTTCAGTTAATAAATATCATGTGGCTTAAAGTAGTTTAATTTTAATATAAAAAATGAGTAATGACTATAATAAACTGTAAATATACGTGAAAATTTATTGAACAAGGAGAGGTAAAACCGTAAAAATCTGGAGGTGAATAAAGAAAAAAATTGAAAAAGAAATAAAATGGTAAATGGAAAAGTGCAAGTGGATCCTACGCTTATCTTTGTACTTGACCTGTGACCAGTGGCCCTTCACCGAGTAGCTGTCAGTCACGTGGCGCGTGATCAATACCTGCCGGTTACGACATGCCACGGTTACAAAAGTACCTGACTTTACCCACACACTATTTTCGCTCTCTCCTTAGAAAATATCTGGTTGACATTTGCTGAAGATATTATCGCCCACTGCTGACATGGCAACACGCCATTGTCCGACACGTGTAAAAGCGTCGCCATGTGGAGCTTGGCCCCCACCGAAACAATCACCACTACCCCTCCGCTACATAAAAACCGCCTCCTCTGAGACCCTAGCCCCCCCCCCCCACCTTCCCCAAAGACTACCCCTCTTATACCCCCAAAATTCACGCTTATTCGCCAGCGTGTTAATATAGAGAGATTTTTTTGTTTTCCAAACGTGCATTATCGGAGATTTCAAAATGGAAGACAGCTACAGGCCGGAGACACCGCCGGGAAGTTGCACTAATGAGTTGACCCGGTTGAATTCAAGCGCGTCATCTTTAACTTTTGCCAATTCCAACGATACTTTGCTGCCGAGTGGAAATGCTACCACGGTAATATTTCCTTTTTTTCCGATTCTGCGGCCGTGTATATTTATGTATTTGCTTAGAAATTTTGTGATGCAGCCGAAAATCTGCTTATACTTTGCCTGTGGTACCCGTAACTTATAAAATATATATATTTGACTGATATTTATTTGTTTCAATTTTCCGATGTGATCTTTATAGCTAGATGAAAAACTATGTAGCTACAATTATTTTGTTGCTGGAGAAGGATTGGAGGAAGAAATTAAATAAAAAGGTTCACTAATTTAGAGATCTAGGTTGAGGATTTTATGCGTGATGTTTGTGCTTAATTCAACTCTGTTTTATTTTATCTGGTTAAGGGAATAACTAGCATGAGCTAAGTGTGTTTTTAGAGTTGGAAAAAGTGGAGTGGTGTTTATTTCTGGTGGATAAGGAAAAATGAGTTTTTGTGGCAAGGGTTTCGTCTATCCTGCAGACTACGGTTTGTGCACTTCTTTCTCTGCTGAGCCTTGATATTTCTCCGTTCTGATCCACCTCTTCTATCTTGTGGAGAAAGAGGGAGAGGGTTGTCGTTCACTGAAAGCACACGCAAATGTTGCTTAATGCTTGTTTATGGGATTTTCTGTAAAATGAGCATCCTGGCCTGAAGATAAACATTAGAGGTTGTAGATGTCTAGATGATCAATCATGAATATTTAGCTTGTCATTCCAAAATAACTATTTTCATGTCTACTTAAAAAGAATTTTACCCGCTTGAGCATTAATTGACACTCTGTTGTCAGGGTCTTTATTGGACACTTCCACCTTTAGATTCAACTACTCTATGAAGGCTTGCCTAAAACATTTTGGGATGTCATTAGGGTAAACTTGGTGTATCTGGCTGAAACTGTCTTGTGCTAGTTGTTTTTGGGAATATCAGATTCTGTATGCATTTTCAGTAATGGACCTAATGGTTAATCAGCTGCTAGTAAAAAGAATTGCAGTTAGTAAGTTCTGGTACCTGATGGGAGGTAGAAACTACCCAGTGGAATAGTCGAGGTAGAAGCAAGTTGGCTCGGACACCTAAAAAAGAAGAGGTTACAACATTGTCAAAGAACCCAAATTTCTTTAAATCCATTACCAAAAATGTAGCTATTGAATGCTCAAAACTTTTGTCACACTTCTTGGTTACCTATGCATTAATCGTGCACATGCAGCTAATATCAATGATCTGAAAATTGATTCAATTTTTTTGTTGAATCTGCATGTGTGTATTGTTTTATAAATGATTGTACTATAAATTTTGAGAACGGAATTTCTTCTTCTAAAAGGTGCTCCTGTGGGACTACCTTTCTTCTCAGAGATTTTAGACCCCCTACGTCTCTAGGCTTTCATTTAACCGTTAATCTGATAGTGCTTGCAAGATTTACACATTGTTTGCATATAGTGAATCCACAACAGCGATCTAATGAGCACTCCTTAGCAGTTACTTGTTTGGTTCCAGCTGATGTGATAAAGTTTGACATCAAGCATGCAAAGGGTAACTGCAAAGTAGGGGAACAACTGAGTTATGAATTCTTCAGTTCAAGCATGGAATTGACTATCTATATTTAAGTGTATTTCTGTTTAAGTGTGTTTCTATAGGATGATTGAAGTTCAACATATTTCTTAAACCTAGCTTTATTAGATTTTAAATGAGATGCTTTCAGATTTCCTGATAGAGATATCCTTATTGTAAGCTTGTACGTGGCGGATTAAATTATTGCATGCAATAACTATTAAATCAAAGTTCTTGGAGACAGATTTCGGATTTGTTTCCTATTTTCTTGGCGTTGAAATTTCTCAGATTTTGGAATTTTTGTTTCTAAGAACACATTTCTCGGCTATAGTTGAGAAGGTTTGATGTAAAACTTATGACTCGTTTTGAAGAAAAGTAGGATTTACAAAAGATGCTGCTAGTGAATTATTCATGATACATTCTAGGACAGCTCACATTTTTCTTAAGAAACTTATTGTATAGAAATAATCAGATTCATATTGGAAGAAATTGCACGTGAAGAAACTTCGTTGGTGTAGAAAGGAAACAAAGAAAGAGTGCAAGCATACCAGTGAATTCCTATTGATGGGGCCAATCCGAAACTCAAGACCAGGTTTTAGCATGCCAGAATAAGGAGACAACTAAAATACTTTTCTTCAGCATGGTTCATAAAACTGTCTACCCAAGTACTGTTCATGTGAAACTAAGCAGATCCTTTTAGGTCTGGACATTAGTCACTGGTTATTTATTCTGATCAATTCACATTTTATGATTTCTGGTTGTTTAGAACTTGTATGTCATTTCATCCTTTCTGATACTTGATTGATCTACAGCAACTAAGTGTCTTACTTATTTAGGACAAAAATAATATTGTTCAGGATTAGGTTTCTTGGAGACCTCTTGTTATAAATGGAACTAAGCAATCATTCAACCTTTATTTACTGACATGCCTTTTTGGTTTTCATGTTCTTTTTTTTTTAGAACGATTAAGAGTCGCTGAATTGGTTCTAACTGAGGCATGGTTTCATCTAATAAACTAGAATTTGACATAAATCGAAGTAAAATCCTTTCCTTCTATGCTGACATCCATCAGAACAGCCATGAAGTCAATAGGGCTCGACAATTTCAATTCTATAAAAGTGTTTCGGTGATAATGATTTTCATTGAATTGAACATACCTATTAAGAGCCTCTTCTAGATTCTGAATGTTGTTTCCTACCCCACCCACAAAAGAAGAGAAGATGTTGTCCTTTTCCTGATAAAAATGTCATGCTTCTTGTTCCTTACCATGACATTTATATAGCTTTCTTTTAAAAGTAAACTTTTTGCCATCATACCTACTTGGTGTGTCACGAATCTTTTTGATAATCATATTTAACTGTCCCAGTGCATGAGTGTGTAATTCATGTGTTAAAATGAAACTCGTGTATATGTGCAAATGCGCTGCGCGTAATTGAATACTTTATGCGTAAACTCCCTGGGCATCATATTGGAGTGCTAATAAAGGTTAATATATACCNGTAGGTTTGGTGGGGTCAGCTAGTGAATTAAAGAATGAACAATTGTGGAGCTTTAAATTTTACTAGGGGTTTGTCGGTTTGGAGTTTGCCTTGTGGTGAGCAAGGTACTTTTGTCTTTATGTAGGTAATACCAAATATGTCGACTGGAAGTATTTCCTGATTTGCATCCAGTTTATGAATTACTTGATTTGCTACTTAATTGAGGTTTCACAAAAATTCGTTAGATTCTTCCTGAGATAAGACGTGGGAGACTGTTGGCCTCCATGACATCCTTAATGCACGTGAAATTTGCATGTGGATGGATCTGTGCAACCTCCTTAATGCACGTGAAATTCATTAGATCTTCCTACTGAAATTTGCATTTGTAGTTCATTTATATGAGCTCCTGCATGTGATCAGTTCTTTCATGTCCGGTTATCTGAAGTAGCGCCTCAAAGTTCTGCTTTTTCTACTTCCGTTCTACATATTATATAGTAGTAGAATGTTGGATCCATTATTTATACCTTCATGTTGGTCCTTGAAATGATCATCTGTTTAAGCTTTATGGCATGCATTGTAACACCCCAGACTTTAGACAGAGTCCCACATCGGCAAAACACAATAAGGATGCTGGGTATATAAGTTAACAAGCCTTAGACCCTAGTGACGCGTTTTAAACTCGTGAGGGCCTAGGCCCAGAGCGGACAATATCACTAGCGGGCTGGGCTGTTACAGATGGTATCAGAGCCACTCTTGTGTCAGCCATGCCGATGTGGGTCAGAGTTCAACTGAGTTTAGGCAAATTCCGATTAGGCGGGGCAAACCTCAGTGCTGAGTCTAGGCAAATCCCATGCGGTGGGGCAAACCTCAGCGAGGACGCTGAGTCCATAAGAGGGGGTGTATGTAACACCCCAGACTTTAGACAGAGTCCCACATCGGCAAAACACAGTAGAGATGCTGGGTATATTAGTTAACAAGCCTTAGACCCTAGTGACGCGTTTTAAACCCGTGAGGGCCTAGGCCCAGAGCGGACAATATCACTAGCGGGCTGGGCTGTTACATGCATATTTCTTGATATATTTTCTAATTTTCCTTCGTGGGCATTCTCTGTTTAGCTGATTTCTGATTAATGGATCATGGAGGTTTAATCCTACACATTCTTCAATATCCTTTAGCCTCCTGCGGCAATTTTATTCCTAAGTTGTGTAGAACTTGCAGACCAATACAAGAAAGCTCAAAATTGAAATTGACATACCTCTTTCCACTAACCTGCCAAAATTTAGGATAATAACGCTTGCATATTTCACGTTTTGAATTCAGGACAAGAACACAGGATGGACAAATGAGAAGCACAATACATTTCTAGACTGTCTTGAAGCATCATTTGTAAAGCAGTTACACAGCTTCATGGCATCACATGACGAGAGCTGCAGCGATTTGTCTGAAAAGCTATCTGCACATGTCAACAAAGCTTCGGAGCAGGTCAGGAGCCTAATTTTAGTTCATTTCTCTATTTCTAGAGCTATAACACGACCTGTTTTTTGGCTTCACTTTCACAATGACCGGGTCACAGGCAGCCGTATATTTTGGGGAAGCAGTATTTTCTCATACCAAACACTTGGCATACTGACACCAATCTAACAATAATTGTAAATCATGCAACATCACGAAGAAAAAAGAATTCAAGAATGCAGGGCTCATATTCTGAATTATTTTCCTTCCTTTTTGGTGCATGTCTAAGCCCATTTACACGTCTTTCTACAATTCATAAGTGAAAATTTATGCTGTGAGATAAATAGCTTAAACATTGTTTTAATGCTATCATTTCCAACCAAAAGAAATTACGATCATTAGTTATTTATATGAATATCATGTCCGACCAAAAGAACATAAGAAATTATGATCATGAAAAATACATACCAAGATTTGATATTCATTTTTTGGCTTTTAGTGTCTTCTAAAGTTCAAAAGAACAAACTTTTGTTTCTTGCTTTATTGATTTGAGATGCCAAAATTCAAGAAATAGGTGCGAAAAGTTAACATCAGATATTGCCATTAAACGGAGGGTCTGTTGTATTTCCTTTTAGTTGGGGAAGGGACGCTTAACTATTAAATTCCTATACTTAACAGGATATCCTTTCTCGTTTAGGAAGATATTCTGCTTCCTTTCAAAATTGAAAACTTGTTAGTAGGTTTCATGCTTTATATTGGAATCCTGGTAGAATATAAACTGTATTGTTTCCCATTCACCCAAAATAAAAATAAAAAACTGTATTGTTGCCCTTCTTTTTTGGTTTCCCTTTGAAGTGCTTGGGAGGGATCTGCACAAAATTGCCCCCCTTTTGCTCCACTCATTCTCTGTACATGACAATGAAAACAGCACCATACCCTTCTTAAAAGGAAAGAAAACCTTTCGGTGGATCTTGCTTGATAGTATTTTTCCTTTCTTCCAGTTTCCTGCTCTGCATGATGTCAGTTGGAAGAAGATGATTACTCTGAGGAAGCCACCTGTTGTGGATAGTGCACCTGATTCTCATGATTGCCCAAAATTTCTACACAGTGATGGACAGCATCACATTCTGGATATCCAATTTTGTTGTAAACTCCATAGCAAGGAGAAACGAAGGAAAGATAAGAGGTCTTCATCTTGTGGACACGGAACAAGATCACATTTAATCCTATCCGAATCTGCAGGACTTAGGAAAAAAGTTTGTAGACTTACTGGTAAGCACTTTGATACGTTGTGATTTTTTTTTTTTCATAATTCAGGTGCTGAAGGATCTAGTTTAATCAGTATATCATTTTCTGTTATGTTTTACTCCTAGAGTCCTCGTAAAGTTGGGTCCAGCCTAATATGCTAAATTTGCATAGGTGCAGAACTGTGATAGGGACGCTAACTGATATTGAGCATAATACTAGCCTTGTGGAAATAAAAGTGGTTATGGGGTTGTGAGGATAAAAGGTATTTTTATGTAAAAATCATGCAAAGAAAACACAAACCACCCTTTTCCTGTTATGCCGTTGACATTTTCTTGCTGGTTGAAGATGTGCCTGCTCCTTTCTTGTGCCAGCTGAGATAATTATTTGCTCCTGTTGCAACCCCATTTCCTCTCTTTCACTCTTGTTTCTCCATGTTACATGGATCCCAGTATGGGTGTGAGTAATTTGGGATGGGTACATTCAAAACTTAGAAACAGAGAAACTGCTTCAAAGATCCGCTTAGAGTACCATACTAATGGTAAGACCCGTCCCACACTAGTAGTCAAGGTAACTCATGAGGCGATGTAACATTCTCTCTCTCTCTCTCGGTTTTTCTTGTGTCGTATCATGGGTATTTTTCTAGAATTGGTGCATGAACAAGCACTTAAGTAAGCATTCAGTGCCTTTCTATTAACTGGTATGGATAGAGACTTGGGAAAATGGAGACATTGGTATCATTACTTTTGCTAACAGAAGGTCCACCCGGAATGAAGGGCTGTTAACTGAGAGTTGTCTTCTCTTACACTATTCAAGTGCTCTAGTCTTTGATTTCCAGTTTTAGTTTTGGCTAATTATCCAGTTTTGCATATATATGTTATTTGCAGTTTTCCAATTTTATTTTTCTCGTACCTAGTTTACTGCTATTCAGAAAGCATGTTAGAGAAATTGACGTGGAAATTATCAGTTAGCCAATATTTATTTCCTTAGCAGGGATTTGTTTTTTGGCTTTCTTTTGTTTTATTTTGTAAGTACGTGTCAGTTGAAGTGGTTGAGAAATGTTAGACTAGAGGTATGGAAACATACTTGAGGCTGAAATGCAACAACAGGAAAATTGAGTCAAAACTATTATCCTGTTTTCCCTTTAATATGATCTTTCCTGTTTTCCCTTTAATATGATNTTTTAGTTTACATGCTTGGATTCCTGGGATGCTAAAAAACCAAGGAAACATATGTAGTTACATTGTAGCTTGTTTTAATTCTACATTTCTTAGTATTTCTGTTTTTGAATTTGTTAAAAATTTTACAGAAGGTTCTGGTCAAAATTTTGTGGATGAAGATTTTGAAGAAAACTCGAGCTGCAAAAAGATGAAGACAGCTTTGGTGGACACTACAGACCAAGAGCAAGTAATGTGCATCAACTTCTTCCCAGTACTTTGAAAAAATGATCTAAGGTTCTGAGAACCCCATTTCTAATTGTTAGATGTGTACTTCAGATTGTTCCAACAAGGTATCTTGGAGTCCAGGAGTTGCTAGTTCCATGTCCCAGAGAAATAACCAATTAAATCTTGGAAGTTCATCAGAAAACAACCAAAGGAGCTAATTCCATGTTCCAGAGAAATGATCAAGTAAAATCCGAAAGTTCATCAGGAGACTGATGGATTTGAGTGTCCTCAGACTGCTATGAGCCGTTGTTGAAATGCAGCTGAGGGGTGGGTAAATCTGGAGAACACTGAGTCACAAAGACAAGCAGTTGGTATTTGCTGGGGGCATCTCTAAAGGATAACTTAAGCGAATTTGAGAAGGTGCTATTGGATTAGATTAGATTTGTTACAAGAAAGTCAGTAGTGTTGGCGTATCAAATTTGGTTAATAATATAGAGTAGGAAAAAGTATAGCGTACATTTGCAGAGGTTTGCAGTATTGCACTACAAATGTAAATGATAGTAGTAGTAGATAATTATCTATACACACAAGTATTTTGCAAGAAAAAGAAGGGAGAAATCATTAATTTTGTCAATTTTGTGATCTCTGTGATCTATCTATAGAGTAGATGTCTCTATGAACTTCAGCTGGAGAACTGTATCTGATTCTTTTGTTTTCATTCTTTTTTTCCCTTGCGTTTGTGATCTTGAACCCCATACAGTTTCATGTATGCATAATCAAAGGAACTCTTCGATTATTTGTATAGTGTGTTCGAGACTCTTTTCTTCTCTTATTCGACGCTGTTTGCTCGCTTTGGTCTTTGTTTGCAGAATGAGTTGCTTTGTTACAAATGGAGATGGGACTTCTGACTTGATATACAAAAGGAATAGAGAACTAAGTAGTTTGACTGGTTGTATATTACATCTTGTTTGGATGGTTGTTATGTATTGTTTCATAATGAATTGATTAATATTGTATCGTATTATATTGTATCGTTTTGATATATATAATGTTTGGATAGATTGTATTGTTTGATGTCATTTCATGATATTATGCACCAACAATATGACTATTAAAATTGCAATATTATAAAAAAAGAAGTAAGTTATGACGTAAAACTATTATATAAAAAGGTAGAGTAAAAGGTAAAATAGGATTATTTAATACATAAGGGAATGATGAGAGAAAAAGATAAGATAACGACACGATCACACCAAATCGGTCGTTTCATAAAGTGACATTTTTCGTCGTTACGCAACAATGAATTAACGATACGATAAAATAAAGTTTAAGTAACAATCAAAACAAATATTGTATTTAAAGGGACAATACAATACAATGGGTAACAACCATCCAAACAAGCTGTTAGTAACTCGTGGAGATTTCACTTGAAATTGCCATATCTGACTAATCCTATATCAATTGGATACCTTGATATTTTCATAATTTTGCTTTTGACCCAATAGTTTAATGCGTCACTTCAGGTTCAATCCGTTAGGTAAGTTCAATAAAGGATTAAACTTAGACTAGTTAGGTGGATCACTAAAAATGGATTGACTTTGCTACTTCTAGACTCTACTTGTACAATAAATTTTGAGCCTGTTTGGCCATAAAAATAATTTCATTTTTTTTAATTTTTTTCGAAATTAGTGTTTGACCATAATTTTTTAATTTTTACTTGGAGATAATTTTGAAATTTTTTAAAATTTAAAAACTCCAAAAAACTGTTTTTCAAAATTTTCACTCGATCACTCACAAAAATTCAAAACAACCCAAAATTGTATTCATGTCCAAACACAATTCTAGCTTTCAAATACTATTTTCGCTTAATTTTTTTTATTACTTTTTTTTTTATTGAAATTTTACGATTCTTATGTCGAAATGCCCAATTAGAAACTACATTGGAAAAGGTAACAATTTATACAAGTCTTTAGTTGACCTGTATTCGCTAAAACCCCTTTCCCGTACTAATAATGTGCGTGAAATGAATTCCAAAAACTTTAGGAATCCACTTCTTTATTTTTCTCTCTCTAATTTGTTTACTTCCTCATCAAAATTTAGCGATTCAAGGCTATAGCTATTCCAATTCAAAGTTTTCCTAGCACCCACCTCAATGTCAAATTCAAACGCACCCAATAAACAATGGCGCAATTGGTTGCCTCTCTTCGTTGCCCTAGTGGTTATAGCAGAGTTTTCTTTTCTGGTTCGACTCGACGTGGCTGAAAAAGCCAACTCTTGGGCCGACTCGTTTTATCAGTTCACCACGGCGTCTTGGTCCACCTCTAAACTGTCTGCTGACCACGGCGACGTTGAGGAGGTCCAGTTGGGTGTTTTGAGTGGTGAGTTATTGAGTGGTGACTTTGATCAGGGCTTCGTACCTGGGAGTTGCGAGGAATGGTTGGAAAAGGAAGATTCTGTGGCTTATTCGAGGGATTTTGATAATGAACCAATTTTTGTTCATGGGCCTGGACAGGTTATAACCACTTCTATTTATGACTGAATTTTATGAAGAATTAACCCAAATAGCCGTCCACCAACTGCTTAAACTAAAATTAGCCGGTAGAGGTATAATATATGCATAATTTATGTATTATATGTGTATAATGAACGTATAATGGCTAAAAAACGTAAAAAATGAATATGACCAGCTATTTATGTAAAGATCCCTATTGAATATTGATATAATTGGACTTACTAGTTCGGGATTGAGCCATAGTCGTATTTTTTTTTTCCGTCCGTTGTTTGTGGCATGCCTAAATCTCTTTTAATGTGTTTATTTATTTTTGTGGATTTTATCGTTATTCCTAGTGTTAGATAATCCTTAAATACAGGGTATTGAAATATTATGGACCCAAATAGAGCATTTATGATATTGAGGATTCATACAGCCGACTCCAGCTAGTTTGGGATAGAGGCGTGGTAGTAGTAGTAGTAGTTGTTGATGTTGCAAAAAAATGTATTGGCATCTTAGTATGCGTAAGGTGCATGGTTGATTTCAGGCTTTTGACTATTATTGTAGCTGGGTCATAGCAAGAGAGGTTTGCTTATTGATGGATTTTAGTTTTTTAGCCTCGTTTGCCGTGACATATTAATAAGTGCTAGAGTTTCTAATCCCTTTATTCAAAAATGGGGAAAGAGTAGAGGAGCATTGTGAATTTTCATATTAATTGCCTTTCGGAGCATATATTCGTTCAGCAATTTATTTCATCACAAAAATAACGCGCTAATGGAATGATCAGAAATCAATTTATCATAATGCAAATACGGCCTCTTATTGTTCTTGGTCTCGCATGCTATTCAATTGTGTGTTTGAATGTTTAATTGTTAGGCATTACTTATCTCTGACTTTATGAATGTCCTGCCCTATACGGAATTCTGATCTCTATTCAATCACTATATAGGAATTGAAATCCTGTTCCATAGGATGTAAGTTTGGAACAGATTCCGATAAGAAGCCTGATGCGGCATTTCGGCTACCACAACAAGCTGGCACAGCTAGTGTGCTACGGTCGATGGAGTCAGCTCAATACTATGCAGAGAACAACATTACTTTGGCACGACGGTGGGTAAGCACATTGTGAAAGAAGTCTTAATTCATTCCCTGCCTTTATTGGCAATTTTCTTTTTAAAATTTGTTGTCATTCTCTTTCATATTTATCACATTTAAGTTATGTATTGCTATTAGTTTTAGATAAGAACTTTTGCATTATAAGTATATTGGCAGCTATAGGTCCTTGTCCAAAATTTTGCCATAGACAAGATATTTGAAAACTGATGACATGAATTATTTCCCTTTAGGCACTAAATATATTTCCTGTAGTAAATAGCTAAGATTCACCTTGACTGAATCATCGCTGACCCTGCTTTTTGTCGTTTTAATCTGGCTGGGTTCCTTTCTCTATTTCGTCATTCCGTTAGGGCAAAAAATAGGAACTCTGTTTTTCAATCGGGGAGTTTTGGGGATGGAGTGGACCACCAACCATACTTATTGAAGCTAATTTAGAGCTAAAGATGTTAAAGTACGTTTTTGATAAGTCATAATGTGAATGTACTAGCTTTGGATATTTGACCGCACAAATCAAACTAGAACTTAGTTTCGACATGGTATAAGTCAAACTCTTCCTATTTTACTTATATAGAAGTTCTTCTCCTTTTGTTTACTTTATAAAGGGTATAAGATGATAAATATATTGTCTACTCTTGGGGGTCTTTGGGTATGCTAAATGAGCTAAGAGGTGATTAGAACTCTAGCAAGGATTGTCATGATGTATTAAGGACATGATCAGAACCCATGTTCAGTGTTTGCACAGGGTTATGCACCAACTAATGGTCAATGAGCACATCTAATCTAGTTTAATATTTGAGTTGTTATTGGATTGACTTTTCAATATCAATAAACCATTGGTCAAATTTCATGATATTTTACTGAGCCATCTGTAATATGATGTCCAACCATGCCTATTCAACAAAATGAAAATTTTAAAACTTACGGAATTAGTTGAGCGCCACCAGATACTTAAAGCTATGCCAACTGCGTCTACCAGAAGCTTAAAGACAAAGTTGAGTAAGAGCACAGTTTTTGATGTGTGGATTAGGTGCATGTCACAAGTTCGAACCCTGTAACAGACAAAGTCCTAGTATTTAAGTGGAGAAGGGTAGATGGTTGGGCGTATTATCCACCGAGTTTCGAACCGTGCGTCACTAGCCCTTAGGGATTTCGGTTATCAACAACAACAAAATACCCAATAACTTCCCACAAGTGGGGTCTGGCGCCCACAAGTGGGGTCTGGCGAGGATAAGATGTACGCAGCCTTACCCTTACCCTGGAAGGGCAGAGACGCTGTTTTCGATTTTAGGTATCATAAAATTTTTAAAAAAAAAAAAAGTTGAAACACAAAGCTAATTTTTCTATCACAAAAATCTTTGAATTTCATTGTAGTTGAGATTTTGGCATCACCTTGCTTAAAAAATTAGCTTAGCATATAGACCTAGATATTTAAAGCTATGCCAGTTGCCATGATAGAGTTTAAAATTACCCTGGTTAGTTGGTTAGTGCTCTTCGTTACATTGAGTCACAAGATTAATTTATGAAGCCAAAGTTCTTAAGGACCATGGCGTGGTTGAGATTTAAACTTTGCATAAGCTTGCTAACCTATTTTATTTTTTCCACTCACATACCAGAAGGGGATATGATGTTGTAATGACAACAAGCCTCTCTTCAGATGTTCCTGTTGGATATTTCTCTTGGGCTGAGTATGATATCATGGCTCCAGTACAACCTAAAACAGAGAATGCCTTAGCAGCCGCTTTCATTTCTAATTGTGGTGCTCGCAACTTCCGCTTGCAAGCTTTAGAAGCCCTTGAAAGGGCAAATATCAGAATTGATTCTTATGGCAGTTGTCATCATAACAGGGATGGAAGAGGTTAGTATATCTCAATTATCCAAACTTACTGAAGGATTAGAGGATAGAATATGGATGGTGCATTTTTAAGCAGTGCCACTAGGGAGCTAATTCTTGTCCATAGAGTAGTATTATGGATTTGATTGACTCTTCCTCGGGTGTCACACCTTCCTCCAGAAGACAGGATTCTACTACCAGTGCAAACCTTATTTTTTTTCTCCTGGCTAACGTGAGCATGCATGTCGTTTTTTTAGTGATTCGAATTTATGCTAGTCCGATGATTGCTTGTCAATGGATTATTTTGCTCTTTTTCTTGTTTAAAATTTGAGTTTCAATTATGCCACCTGATAAGAATAAAGTT